CGTTCTTTCTGGCTAAAAATAGTAAAAGAATAAAAATAGGCAAAGGCTGTTTTTCGGCAGCAAAAAGAAAAGGAAAGGAGGGTCATTTCTGGTGTAAGGAGGGTAGGAGATTGATTTAGATCACCAGAAGATTAAAAACCAAAGCTGAAAGGGGACCGAAAAGAAAACAGAAGCATGGCTAGGAAGTTTAATTCATGGTTTTATCTCATTTGCTTCTTCTTCCTGGCTGGACTCGCCACCCCTTCCTCCTTTATTTCCAGTAAGAATCATACCTTTCACTTCACATCATAATATTGTAAAAGCGTAGCATTTTGAATTTTTTCTCATCAATTCTCAGGTTGGTTTTCTTTCCCTTCATTTACCATTAAAAACTGCAGATGATGCACTCGATGTTCATGGTGGTTCTGGCCGTACCCTTCTCCAGATGAAAAAAAGTAAGTTTTCTTTTTATTTTCCCCCGTCTTTGGGAAAATTCTCGGAAATCTGTATGTTTCTACAGATTTCTAGGATTTGCCTCCATTAATATCTCAATGACAAGAAAGTTAGGACTAATGTTGATCAGCAAATGAATGCTTTGACAGAAGGGAATCATTTCTCCATTCCAAATTCCCTTTGTTGATTCTTTGTTATTGATTCTTGAACTGATTTTTTTGATGGCTTGATTGGCAATGTTGAGCATAGAATGTTACTGTTCATCCCATTGGTTAAGGTGATCAAAGGGAAATGAATATCTTTATAAATTACATAGAATCACTTGTTAAAACGATACAGAAAGTCTGAAAGAAGCTTGTTGAAGGAAATCTTCGATGGCGGAAAGTCTTTACTGCCTGCTCTATCCATCTTCAGCAAAGAGGACAGTTGCTCAAATACGAACAGCATGTTATACAAGAGCACATATGACCACACGGGAGGAAAACAGTATTGTACTCATGCTCAAGTTTTATCACACATAGATCTGGAATTGGACGTGCTCTCTTGGCACCATCTGAACCATCGTTCTATAGGACTTCACAAGGCTGATTGACAGAAATTTGAGGCTGGTTTTCTGCCATTGACATCACTTGCCTATACATTTCTATGCAGAGAGGCTATTTTATTGAAGAAACATAAACCAATAGACAAGATATTAAGCTTGATGCATAATCTAGTTATTATAATTAGATATGACACACTGAATTTTCATGTTTTCCTTCATTTCTCCTCATCTGCAGCCTGCAACGTAAGCTTTGAGAATTTGGACTACAGTGTCCTCACAGATAAATGCAAAGGACCCCAATACCCAGCAAAATCATGTTGTGATGCTTTCAAGGAATTTGCTTGCCCTTTTAGCGATGCCATAAATGACCTGGAAACCGACTGTGCCTCAACCATGTTCAGCTACATAAATCTCTATGGGAAATACCCTCCTGGCTTGTTTGCCAATGAGTGCAGAGAAGATAAGAATGGTCTTGATTGCCAAAACGTGGAACAATCCAAGAAAAGTGGAGGAGTTCAAATTGCAGCTACTCAATCCTCATTATTGACGCTCACAGCAGGGCTCATAGTGTTGTTACTCCAATTATTCTAGATGGTTAAGAGTGGATAACCGTTCATTTCCTAACTGTTACACCTTCCTGTCCCAAAGTATTGCTTCATCAAATTGTGGTTCCACCATCATTGTTTTCTCCACCTCTGTGCTACAATTTGACATTCTTTTAACTATTAATTGGTGCATAGTTCGCTATCAGATTCTTTGGACTTCGGCAAGCCATGCGCTGTTGTTACTGTGAACATGTGCAGCTATGTGACGTTCAGAAGAAATTCTTGAATTATTAATGCTGGTGTATCATTGCTATTGACTAAGTTCTACTGTCAATTTGTTAAATTGAATTTGAGAGAATTGCAATCTGTTATCAAGCTGGGGTACTGAGATTTGATCTTTTCACTTGCCCCCTGACATAATTGAAGATTCTGGTGTTATGTCAATGTCTGTTGTCCCTCTATGCACTTGGAATTGCAATGTCATACTACATGTTGCCTAGTTTGCACATCTTGTAACAGTGTTCTCTCGATGTAATAAATGAGAGGGTGAACATGAATCTTTGTAGCAAAGATAAGTTATGGAATCATATAAAGTCATGAATTGAGGTTTCTTGAGAAAAATATAGATTTTATAGGGAGGGCCACGCATGATGGGACAATTGGATGAAAAGGCATCCGGACAACATCTATTATTGCTTTCAAAAACAGTTGTGACTTTCATTTCATGGCCCTTGCTTACTGGATCTGTTCTGTATCAAATTCCCAGCTGAAAGGCTCAAAATTCTATGGATAAGGGTAGATTTTTCTATTCCCAGAATAAATGGATGTGGAATGACCTATTTCTTTCCATACTTGTCCATTCCTTGCAACAACAAAGAATCGGATCCCTTATCTTTTTTGAGGTGATTACCATGTAACTTTACCAGCAAACTCCATGTGTCTTTCTAGTCACTGTCACCTTTAGCTCTCCCATTCAATGTTTCACTGAAAGGGAAAAGAAAGCATTGATTACTTGTGGAAGTGACTAAAAGAGGAAGGTTATGATGGATATAAGAGGCTGATAGCTTAAAACAATCTGCAATACAACGATGACTAATGACACAAAAAAGGACAAATCAAGAAATATAAACAAGGTAAACATAAAATGAACCAATGGTAAACTAGTCAATGCGGTTGGGTATTTTAGTAGTTCAACATCAAGCCCACTGTAATTATGTCATAGCATCTGGTCCAGGCATGCTTTAAGGCTAGTGAAGATACATTGCATTGCATTATCTCAATTATAAGGTTTAGGGAAAACTACACAAGGATCAGGTTCTTTTCAAGTTTGATAGATTAACTGGAAGGTTGAGAATGTTGAGTTTGGGCAGCATAAGCATCTGCAAAGAAGTTCTCTGTTGGACCTAGGAGACTCCAATATTTTGAGTTAGCATTGATAACAGAGGAATGAAGTACTAGAAGCAATGTTGCGTATGTTTTACCGATTTTAAGATGATGAAGAAAATCATAGCATAGAAGAAGGTGAAGACAGTAACGTTGATGATGAAGATGAACTTACTTACCTTGGGATTCAAGGTAGTTTATATAGTCTTGAATGCATGTCGATGTGTCTATGCAAATGAAAGAGAGGTCACTGTGCCTTGTTGGGCTCTGTTAACACCCTGGATTCAGTATAGAGTGTTGAGTCATCCTCCTCGAATCCAATAAAGGAACGAGCCACATAATGTGCCCAGGCTCGAATAGGTGTGATCTATGCTAGGGTTCTAGATGCTCGTAGTAGTTTCATGACCAATGAAGATTTTGAACCGTGTCTTGTGAGTTTCTCATGTTCTCTGCCATGTATAAGATGATCAAGGGTATAATTCTTGGGCCCATCAACATCACAGTCAAGAAAACAAGCCGAGATCAATAATATGCCGAGAACGGCACTGCAGTATAATTCTTTTGCTATCATCTTTCATGGTGACATGGTCAACCAGTTTATCATCTTACCATGTCCATAGCTCGCTCAAAATGCTTGTGATACTTATCCAGTTTCTTACCACTAATTCCTGGCAAAGTGGTGCACGCTAGCTTTTTTAAATAGAGAGCTGATGTGATTCAAAAATTAAAGGTGTTTCATGTGGAATAAATCCAGTTTTGAGATCTCCATGTTGACTAAATAAGTTTTTTTTTTTTTATGAATCAAAAGTCAGCCAACCCAGTTTGATAAAAGAAAAAATCGATTGAAAGATGGGTAGACATCCAGTCAAAAACTCAAAAATCAATGTGTTTTTTCTCAAAAGCTTCATTTGTAGCTTTTATTTATTAAAAAATAACCCTCATTATGAGGAGAAATACCGTGAATCTGTGTGGTGATTCTTTTGTTTTTGCCCCTTGGATTTTTTACACTTTAGTCCCTTAATTATTTTATCTTTTAATTTGATCCTTAAGAATTTATTTGATTTGTGATTGATCTTAGTAATTTATTTTTAATGAGTGTTTATGGGGATCTTGAGGTGTCAAGGAAATATTATATTTCTCAGTAATTCTCAATTTTACAAAATAAAATTTAATTTAACTTATTTACAATAATTAAAGCTTTAAATATTGAATTTAAATTTTAAATAAATATTCAATCTTTTTCTGTCAAAATCAATGAATAATTTGCACGGTCAAAGTAATGGTCAAGGTAAGTTTTTTTCGGTCCATTAAGTTTTTTTTAATTTAATCTTTTCAAATTGATTTTATTTATTGTTTAACTTGATAGTTTATTTTTGTTATCTTGATACGGGGTCTTGCAATAAAATAAAATTTTGTTAATTTAAGAAAATTAAGCGTTAAAGAATTAAAAATTAAAGTTGAACAAGTATGGGACTAGGGTAGAACACCAAAAAAAATTTGACTAGCACTTGCAATGCATGCAGGAGGTGGTCTGAAATTGCTACATCTAAATTCTGATCAGATTATTATCATTACAGCTACAGCTACAGCTAAATTCATGGTCCAATTTCTAAGCCAAACAAACCCTTAGCAATTAGCTTTGGGGTTTCAAAAAGTGTGATCAATAAACCAAGTGGTGAATTATTTATGGAATTTAGATTGCGTTACCATATCGATGAGTGGAATGAAGAATATCCCATTTTCCAATTTTTAAGCAATCAAAAGGATGCATATACTTATTCCATCACTTCCTTTCTTTTTTACTTCTTTTTCTCTGTTTGACCATTGAAAATACACAACTCGTCCCTCCTATTATCATGGGTTCAAGTTCAAAAGAGTTGCTCCAATTTTTTACCTTTCGTTTGGAAGCATGAGACACCACGACGCCACTTGGTCCATTGATTCCAATGCTGTCTGCAGACTAGTCTCATGTCTTTAGATGATGCTGGCAACAAACTATTTCAAGCAAAAGCATAGTGCTTGATCAAGAATTTGGCACACTTCATGGTGGTAGCAGATCAAATTTTAGGTAACCCAAAATGGTCAAGCAAGAGACTGGTGCAAAATCAAGAATTTGGCTATGTCATTCCAAGAGAACTAATTTTGAAGTAAACCCAATGGGGCTTTAGTTGGCCTACTTGTCAACTCAAGAACAACAAAATAATGGATGCAAGCGACATGCCAATTGAACTTGGCTGATCCCAAATGAGCTTCCAAATTCATCCAAGCATGGAAGTACTTGATTTTTGGCTCTCAGATACTCTAATTTAGCAAGGTCAATAAGGACAAAGTATTTTGTTCCCATACTTGAAAGAAAATTGTTCATAACTTGGAATTCCCCTTTGGGACTTCCATGGAACCACATCTTGGACTTGTAGAGCTACAAAACAATGTCATCCATCAGACATCCACGCGTAACCTAACGATGCCTGCCTTGTACAAAATATTGCTGTGAAAAGATAAGTAATGGAACATGACTAATTTAGCAAGCAATCATTTTCTAATCCCAGAAAAATCGATGGCACAAAGAAAATCAGCCATGAATTATGATCAGGACAAGCAATTTTTGAGTGAAAACACCATTACAAAATTTCAACTCAAGCATTACAGATGTTCTCCTAATCAGATCCGCTCAAAGAAACTAAAGAAAAAAGGTCAAACTTTCTTTATACCATCCTTTTCTCTCTTAATTAAAGAGAAAAGATTGGTGCTAGCTAAAATTAGTAGAACTAATCATTATCATCCATGGAGCTATCAAGGCCAGATGTTGATTCTCTCATCATCTGTGAGCAGTGACCAGCGTTTCAATGAACCTCAACCCATCATACCTTGGTGCAAATTTATCCATGGAAGCCGATCTCTGTTGATCTTTGTTTGAGCCAGCTTCCTATAAAAGAAAAGGTGTCAAACTTTAAGACTAATAGTTTCAGAAAAAACAAAGATCAATCACAAACCAAAAAGTAAGCTTAAACTATATCGATCAATCAGGGGGGGAAAAATTGAAGAAACCAAGCACCAAAAGGGGTCATTTAAAATTCCATGAGTTTTCAAGAAACCCAAAATTGAGCAATTGAATTTCTTGTTAAAAACATTTATGGGTTTACAAGAAAGTACAAGGCAGGATCTTTGAGGTAAAAGAGATCCCAAGCTTCTCTGGAATCAATTACTGAGCCACAAGACAAGGCAAGACCCAGAAACAAACAAACAGAGATAAGAACACAAGAAACCAATTCCCATGAAAAAAATTCAAGAAAATACACAAACCCAGAATTGTATTGTCAATTGTCTTACCTTAACATTGGAGTTACAGCTAGAAGATAAGGAGGAAGCAGAGAAGGCAGTAGCAGTAGCAGTAGCAGCAGCAACAAAGGCTGCAAAGAGGCTCGATTTCTTCATCGGCATGATGATTTGTTTGGAATTCAAATTATTGAAATTTTGTAAAAGCCAAGAAATTGGAAAATAGTTTCTTGGGGAGAGGGAGAGAGAGAGATGGAAGAGAGTTGAAACTTGTGAAGAAAGGGGTTGGTCATGGCGTATATATATTTATATATATAAAAGGATTTTTGGTCTTCGAGGGTAACTTTCGAATATTTACGCGGCAACTATCCCCTTCTCCGGGTACTGAATTTACAATTTTGGGTTTGAATTTGTTCTTCTAGAGTGTTATCATACATGAATTTGATGTGGTGAATGGGTGGGCTTGTTCATCTCATTATTGAATTGAAAGATTTAGTCTTTAAAAAAAAATGATGTTATAAAATGTATGTTGACATTTTATGTATTGATTTTGTTTAGTTAAAGATAGATGGTTTATTTTTGACATTGCAGTAATTCATGAGAATTTTATTTTTAATTCTTAAATTAAAAATTGAATTGAAAATTTTGAAAATCCATCATGGTTGACTATAAACTCAATTTGTTTGTAGTTTATGAGAAATTATCTGGTGAAGTTAATTCAAGCAAAAAAGTTTGTTTTATGTATGAATTTATTGATCAAGTAAACTTGAAAATCAAGTTTGAATTTACTGGTTAAAGCTTAATATTAAAGGAATCCAAAATATACTTGTTTGGAGCATGACTCGTATAGATATTGATAAAGTAAGATTTTATAAATTTATTTTTATATATTTTTTAAAAAAAATATCAAATAGAGAAAAATATTTAGATGTAAATTTTTTGTATTCATCAGTATATTTGATTGGCATGCATCATCACCAAACACTTTCCCATGAAGGCATACTAAGAAAACTCATGTGCTATTAGGTCTAGTCAAATTCAGCTCAAAAGTTGTTAGGTCTAGACATCGTCAAAACCAAATGATTTATGGGGCTGGTCATTGCCAAACCCAAATGACGTTGGGTTTGGCAATGTGTGTCAAACTTAGCGCATGGGTCTCACAATACGTCAGACCTACACATAACTTGGATCTAACATGTGACACCATCTAGGTCTGACACTTGTCAAACCCAACTCTTATATTTTGCAGGGGTTTCCATGCCCACTAGGTTGGTTTGGAGCACTGTCAAGCTAACGAGTTAAGCTTGTCGCGTGTTATCCAATGGTGTTAAGCTCGAGGACTTTTGTTATCACACCCTATGTATGGCCAGATTCGCTACACTCATGGATTCATATATAATATTTAAATCTAATATTATTAATTCTATATATTTTTACATAAAATCTAAAAGAAATTATTTCTTAACAAATAGACTTAATTAAACAAGTTTACACTCCACCGATATCATTAAGTGTATTAAAGTCTCTCATGGTCTATAATGTCTCCATCTTTTTCATGGATAAAATAAATGGAATACATCTCACAATACAACTCAAAAATATTATAAAGATAAAATTATACTACAACCTATCCTCTTTATAAAATAACAAGATTTATGAGTTTTAAATACATCATGAATCTTTTAAAATAAAAGCTCATAGTCTTTGTTCTCTATTACATATATATTTAAGAATATCTCTTTTTATATTATTATTATTTTTTTAAAAAAGAAAATACTTATTTAAATATCCAAGAATACCTATATTTATCAAAGAAGATACTAGCCACAAGTTATCTTGGATTACAAAGCATTAAGTACAAACTATTATTTATATTGGTTAGGAAAAATAGAGATTGCTATGATCAATTAATTAACTGATTATTCAACCTAAAAATTTTATTACTAAATTGGTTGGATTTTTTAATGTTTCATGAGATACATGCATGAATGAATGAAAGAAGTTTATCAAATTTATTAAGTGTGTGTGTATTGCATTCCAATGTTTCTAATTTTCAAATATTATAATTTATACGTAGAATATTACAATTATAAAAATTCTACAATAAAATTTTATAAAATAATATTAACAACAATTAAAAAAAATCATAGAACCAGTAATATTAAAATAGATAAAAGAGTTTTTATATCCATCAACATCATCATAAATATACTTAAAAGTTTGCTAAAATCATATTATTTATTGTCAAATCAATAATCACAAGTTTTTTTTAATAATAATAATAATAATGGTTTTGAAGTAATTAATGAATCCAATGTCATTAGCAATGATTAGAATTATTTGAATTACTTTGGGATAAATGTTATAGAGGACTCAAGACTTCACTTCATGCCTTTCTCATTCGTATGGATTTCTGGATTTTTTAGATAAACTAAAAGAAGAGGAAAGGGAAGGGTAATCCTGTAAAAGGGAGACTCTTCTTCTATCACCCGATAAAAAAATGAAAAGGGGCAAATAGTAATAACACAAACGGGTAGAGGTTTTCCGCGGCTTGTCGATGTTGTTTTTTTTCGAGACGACGTGTCGGGAGTGTGTCGGGAGAGTCCTGATTGGTTGATTTTTTCACTAAATAGTCAATTATTGGACGACAAGTGTTCGGACAACATATTTTCATTTTCACAAAGTTATTGAAAATGAAAACTGGAAAGTGATTTGGAAAAGGCCAAGATTTGCAGGTTTTGGAAATGAATGAGGTGGCAGATACTTATCGCAGTGATTTTTATTGTACGTGCTTAGGTTTTTTTTTAAAAAAAATTATTTAAAATATATTAAAATAATATATATATTTTTATTTTTTAAAATTTATCTTTACAGAAATACTTTAAAATAAGTCAAAATTATCTAAAAAATTACTTTGAAGCAATTTTTTTGAAAAGCATAATATAAATGTAAAAATAAACAGTCTATAAATACTTTTATTTGTAAGTTGTTGTCTAATTTTTTATTATACCCTTTTATTTTCTCATAGTTACCCCAAAATTCTTTTTGTTTTTTTCTAAAAGAAATTGGGTGTACAGATTAGATATTATATATGTAATTAGGGAGAAATATAGCATTTTCTTGGATATCAATCAACCTTATTTATCAAATTATTTGACACTCATATAAACCAATTTTATGTGATTTTCAAAGAGCTAAAAACTTGTTGCTATGAAGTTACGGTCATTATTATATATTTATATATTAAAAACATAAATTTTACAATATATTTAAGTTGTTTATCAGCATACAAAATCGATACCTTCTCACTATTTTTAATTTATTTATTCTTTTAATTCTATTATGACTACTGTTAATTCTATTATGTCATCATAGAGTAAGAACATGGTTCATGTTTGTAGGCATTGTTGATGCTTGAATTCTTGACAAGAAATTTTAGAGTCAAGTTATTTTATGAAATAAATTGTTCTAGAAGGAATATTTATTTGATTTAAGTCTAATTTATATTAAAAAATTCCAAAAAAAATAGAAAAGAAAAGAAAAAACTAGAGATTGATAGTTGTAAACTAAAGGACAAGTTACTAAGATGACAAAAGGGTGTTATGGAATTCCACTTTTCTAATAAAAATCCAAGTAAACAACACCATACACATGAAAGGGATGATCTTGGTGGATAGGATTAAAACATCCAGAATAGTCAATAATTATCCAAGTAATTCAGCAAGGCCTTACAATATCCTGCCAAAAACAGCATTTTACGTCAAAGCATAAAAGAAAAGGCAAAGAAAGGAAGAAAAGTTCTTTTAAAAAAACAAAACATGAACAATACTTTATTTTGTAAAGTTATTAAAAGTGTTTTTGGGATTATAATAATAATGGTGTTGGTGAAAAATATTTTTTATTTAAAAATTATTTTTAATATTAATATATCAAAATAATTTAAAAATATATAAAAAAATTATTTAAAATTTAAAATTTGAGGGATATAATTTGCTTTTCGTTTCCAAACATACTTTAAACCTGTTTAGTTTATTCATTAATTATTTGACTTGATGATTATGAGGTGGGTGATGATTAATATTAATTTAAAAAATATTTAAAAATTAAATTAAATTTTAATTATATCACGAGTTACCTTATAACGTCGATGACATTCACCGAGCCACCTTCGAATTATTTAATCTAAAATATCATTCAGAGTTGATAGGGTTTAATCTCACAGTAATGTGTTGAAGGGTACTGTTGTCGTGTTGTTAAGGTACCATGCAGGCAAGAGACACGAGCTCAAGATTTTTGAATTCTTGAGGTTGTACTTACTCGACAGAAAAGATCATCAGCCATCTGGGCGCATGACACGTGTCAACCAATTATTTAGTCAACCACTATTTTTATCCCATATTTTTGTATATTTCTAGAGGTGGGTTTGGCTGGCATTGGTCGGGAGGCCAAGCAGTTGAAGAAGAAGGAAGGAAACTTCCACAACAAAACAAAGCAGAGGGTACTTTCAAACGACAAGAGAGAAAGCGGATGCCAGGTTTCCAAGGTGAAGCTGTCACTGTTGTTAACTTCCAAACAAAGGCTTTGTTGACAGGTGGTATATTGGGAACATGTTTTTGTATGGATTCAAGAGAGAGGAAGGAGACGTGTTTAAGTAGCATTTTGTTGTTTCACGTGTTTGAAGGAAATTAATGTTTTTTTAAAAAATAAATTATTTTTTAATATTTGATAGTAAGTTAAAAATAAAAAAAATAACTTATTAATATTTTATTTTTTAAATTTATTAAAATAATAAGGATTAAATTTTACAAAATTAAAAGGTTGAATGAGAATGAAATTGAAAAAAAATATAATTTATTTTATAAAATTAAAAGGTTGAATGAGAATGAAATTGAAAAAAAATATAATTTATAAATTATCTCAAATAAAATAAATAATAATTAAAATAATAAAAATCAAATTAAAAAATTAAAAGAAGAATAAATTAAAATAATAATAGTTAACATTTCATAAATTATTTTAAATAAAATAAATAACAATAAAAAAAATAGAGACCAAATTTAATAAATAAAAAATTTCAATTAAAAAAATAATAAGAAAAAAAAAATAACAGTTATAAAAATAAGTACTAAAGTTAATATAAAAATTAAGTTTTAAAAGATAAAATTAAAAATTAAAAATAAAATATATATAACAATCAAAAGTTTGAGGATCAAATTTAATATAATCAATATATAATATGATATTTATAAATTTTTCATAATTTTCAAAAAGTGTTTTCCATTAA